GTTCGAGTTTACCAAACGTTAAGTGTGGGAGCTTAGTTTTCTCTGGTAACTTTATAGCATTATCCTTATAATTTTTTGATTTGAGAATAACGTGTACTTAGGTAAAGTTAGCTAGAGGGAAACGAATTATTGAGTAGTGATTTAAGGTTAAATCTAGCACCAGTAAATTCTTGGTGTGGGCATTTAAATAAACCGCTAAATTTCATTATTTTCCTTTAGGATCTGAAACGAGGCGTCGTCCAATGGGTAGGCTTCCACGATCGTGTAATATAAGTTGTCCGCCGCTCGGTGGTGGAGGAGGATGAGGTTAAAGAAAGTCCAGGAGATTACCTGGACAGTTAACTTTTGGTGTTCGATGTTTCTGGTGTCTACGAATGTAAGTTCGAGAACTAGATGAGCACTATTTGGTCGCTGAATGAGCCGTGTGACGTGGTTGAGCTAAATTCCGTTGGAGCGCTCTTCTACTGATTTGTTTGTTCAGGATCACAACTTTTGTATTTATCCGTTCAAATAATTGGGCTATTCATTTTTTTTTCTCTTTTTTTTGTTTTAGTGAACTTACTGTGGCTTTTTCATCTTTTCCGTCCAGCTAAAAATTTTGTTTTGAAATCCGGTTCTTCGCACGAAGAGTACTATTTATAAATAATGTTGCTGACACTGGTCCATATTATGCGATAATGAGATATTTTTGATTGATGATGGTTATGTAATTCAAAAAATTGTTTGCTATTTTTGTTTTGTATAGCAGGCTGATTCAGTCTTTGGTCTATAGTCCTCAATGTTGGTCAGCTTTTAGTGTAAGGAAGATTGCATCTCGTTGAGGAAAAAAAATGGTGATTTTATCCTACTTGCAAGTTTGAGATAATACTGCTGGTTAAAAGTTAGATAAGTGATTAGTTTCTTCTAAGTTACTTCTGCAGCATAGAGATTATTGCCTGATCCGTGGGACTAGTTACGGAAGCAAATCTTTTGCAGTTTTAGAAACAGGCAGGAGATTGAAATTGCCGTGTTGGTAAGTTCCGTTGAGTGGCGACCAAAGGAAGGTCTTTCTCACAAAAAGTCCCGATATGCTGTTGTGAATCGTTTTTTGGTTGTTTTTCGTCAGACGAAAGTTTTCTTGCCTTCCCCCGGCTGTTCTATCTCTTTACTGATGTTTTATTCGCCTTTATTATTGATACTGTTTGTTCTTTCCATTGTCTTTCATCCTTGTAATCAAATATGTAGAATTATGGACGAGGTCATTACTTTTTTTATAAAGCACTGCGTTTACGGAACTTCGAAAGTTCGGCTTTCTCGGCTATTACTGAAGGCGGAACTGCATAGGATAAAGGAACCCTGAATGCTGGAAATCTGCTGCGACATTAGTAACTCCAACGTGCACTGATTTTGGATGGTCTCGTAAGTTACTGTAGGCAAAGTTCGAACTGCCCACTTGTTTGGTTTAAAAACGTCGCTACTAGTGTTTTATAAAGTTCATTTTATACTGCAAGGGTCTGCAGATTGACCCCTTTCGATAAAAAAAGTTTAGCCGAAGTGAAATGAACAAGATTAAGTGACAGTAAAAACCAATAGTATAACAACGGACTACAGACTAGGGTTTCATTCGCAAGGCTCAGGAAGTTACCGAAAGCATTCCCAGAATACAAGGTCCGCCGTTGCGCGTTTATCAGAACCAAGTGTTAAAAGAGGATCTTGTTTTAAAGTTATTCAAATGCTAGATAAAGACCAGGTTTGGATAAAGAACATGTAGATGAAACCTAAGATCACACAGAACCCGATTCAGCAAAATTAACAGTCGGTTGACAATAAACAATTTGGCAACCTAGCAAAACGAAAAAAACATAATCCACAGATATTATTTCAAATAATTATATAAATTAAGAATTACAAGAAACGGAAAGAGCTGAAATCACAATAATAAACCTTGTAACATGCCTAAAAAACTTTGAAAATTAATTCGATCTTCAACAGCCCATAATGAGTTTGGCGGATTTTGTCGAAACATTAGCACAAAGACAGGCAGGTAGGGTGACATAAGCACAATCAAATTTAGAAAAAAAGAACATAATAAATAATCCTAAGTCATAACAGAAAATCAGAAAAATATATTTTATTCTCTTTATGAGCACTAATTTGGTTCTTCCGTAGATTCCGGGGTGGCGCTCATGGTGTTATGTGTTTGCTCATAAGAAATGATTTCATTAAATATGATTTCTGAAATACACGGATGTAGTAGTTAGTTCTTCATTCTCACTGGGAATAAGTATTCTGAAGCGGGAATGAAGCAAATTTAAATCACGTACGATGCAACCAAAAGACTGTGTATTAAACTTGAAGAAAAAAGTTTGCAAAATTAGTATTACCTTTCCATTCTTCAACAGTATGATCTACAGCATCAATGGAGTGATCATACTGCTCTGGCGGAGGGGCATAAACTTCAGATTCGTCGAACCATACATGAACGTAAGGATGGTGCAAAGCATCATCGACAGATATCCGTAAGTCAGGGTCAATTACCAACATTCTCGACAAGAGATCTCTGGCTTGTGCAGCTAAACAACCAAATTTGAAATCATATTGGATTTATTATTCACGCAAAGTTTTACAAGTTGCTCAGTTTTTGTTGTATTGTTGTATTGTATTGCCTTTTGTATTGCTGTTGTATCGCTCAAGTTTTCAAAGGGTTTAGAAATTTTACAACAAATTCTCTTGTGGAAAACTTTAGTGACCTTATTCTTAACTGCCGCCCCTACTATAGTTCTAATTCTAATCGTCTCTCCCTTTTTCTCTAACCTATTTTTGGCCTCCTTGCTGAGTCCGCTTCTTAGACGCTAGATCCGCTAGATCTCACACTGCACCAAAAAAAGATGGTATGGTTGTCATAAAAAGCTGACCTACTATATTCCAAAAGAATAAGCATCCCATTTCCATGCAAACGACTCTCAAAAATTCAGTGTATATTGAAACAGCTAAAGCAGTTTAACACCTATTTTAAAGTTTCCAAACTCTAAAAAGATGAGAATTCTTCCAACTCACGGCACAGGTATGGGTTTGACGATGCCGGCGGGAACATGAGATCACTAAACAAATTCTCGAACGGCATCGGTTCATATATTTGTCGGCTTTCAACGTATGAGCGAACCCCACTTTGTAAGCGAGAAGTAAATTCACGACTTGGCGTTCCTAGCAAAGTTACAATTCGTGTCCATTGGTCTATGTGGTCTGTACCAGGAAACAGAACAGTTTTCTTAACCAGTTCCGCGAAAATGCACCCAATCGACCATATGTCAACTAAAAAACTCTTTTTTTGGCAATTAATTACAAAATACAGGATATAGATACAATAAAAAATGTCATGATTTGAGGCAAATATAAAGTTACATAAGCTACACAAAATATATTTTAACATAATAAATTTGGCAAAGAAACTGTATTGAAAATACCGTTCTCCTTATACGCCATGCCAAGTATGACTTCAGGAGCACGATAATAGCGGGTTACAACGTAAGGTGTCATCTGGAACGAATCAACAGTGCTTCTAGCCAAACCAAAATCCAATATTTTCAAAATACACAGAGAGTTCACCACTATGTTACTTGGTTTGAGATCCTAAAGATTTAAAGTGAATGGAAACAAAATGTTAAAAACTAAAAGACAATATAAAACTCCTTTTTTAGAAGTACACCAAAAATAACCACCTATACCACAAATACTGCGTAAATAACAAATCCGTAAAAACTCTCCACACAAATCATCTTTTAAGCTGCGGGAAAATTTACATGATTTGGGCAGAGTGGAACATAGTCATTTCAAGGTCCTATAAAGCTAAAACATCTAACTTCACAAAAAAACTATTAAAACTTTCAAAACAAGAAATGAAGAAAGAAGGAGAAGTAGCGACGAAGAAATGAAGAAAGAAGGAGAAGTAGCGACAGCTACAAGATAATGTGTTGAATATTTTTACAGAAAAGATTTTTTCTTTACTAGACTCGCTTGTAAAAAACACAATCTGAGAACAAATGAATTCATAATTGTGAGGTTTATCTGCACTTTATTTCACCATACACCGTAGCTAAGGATTTTCAAATCCAAATTTGAAGAAAAAATTTTACTAATAATGAAACGGTTAAAACTACACATTAGAATACGGACATAATAATGGATAAGTGTAATTATAAGTACCACTCAGAGACTAAGATAATAATTCACTAAAAAAGGAAACTTGCTCTGTGAATAATTCCAGCAGCATGAAGATGCCGAACAGCGCACAACATCTGGTACAGCAGATATGATAAGCGTTCATGGTCGAGATCCATTTGAATGACGCTACAGAAATTGGCTTCCATGAGTTCCATAACAATATACAAATCAAGGAATTCATCGAGCCTCTTCTGAGGAGTAAACGCATCCAACAACCCAATGATCTTAAGTAAAAAAATAAGGTTGATTAAGCGTCGGAACGAAAGCATTATCTAATGATTCATTGAAACTATCCTATAATTACTCTTACAGCTAAAGGATGTTAACCTACTCAGTTTTGACCTCAGTGCTAATTTATCCATTACTATAAAAAATAAACAAATAAACGATTAAAAATTTCAGAAATATCATTTGAAATTTAGAAATAAAATACATTTTTATGTCGCACGAGGTTCATGATTTTAAACTCTCTATAAGCTCTTTTCGCGTGGGTCACGTTCAGAAACGGTCTACTAAGACGTTTTATTGCCACATTTTGCTTACGAATTGTATCGTATGCGGAACTGAAAAACAAAAACGATAGAAGGAAATAAGAACACAAAATGAGAAAACACATTCTTAAGTCGCAACCTCAGCCTGATGCTTCTTTCTTCAAGTCCTTTCATGATTTGTAGCTGTTCGTCAAAAAAAGAATGGGCATAGAAGACAGTTAAATGAAAAGCCAGTATAAAAAAGTGGAACAAAAAAATAATCTACCAAACAACTCCTTGGGCTCCCGAGCCAATCACTCGTAGGTCCCGATAGCGTTTTAGAATGCAAAATCTTGTATCATTAATATCAACTGTATAAAATTCGGACGCTACAGATGTAGAAGCCATAGGGATTGCAATTCTGAAATCAAGAGGAAAAAAAGAATCACTGATTTAAGAAAAAGTTAAATACATAAAAATCACAGTTTTGTGAAATGAACCAAGCTGCAGCCTACCTACTCCGCACAGAGCCAAACGCGCTGGCGCAACTATCCAGCGAAATTGCGTCAAGATCGTGCTCACGACCCGCGCTCGATGTCGCCAGCCACTGAAACTCGGTTAGCAGTTCACTGCTTTAGCATCTTAGACGGAAAAACAGTGATGGAGCAAAAGCTTTTTTACTTAACCTTTCACGGACACGCTACGTAGAATGACAGCAACAAATAAAGAGAGCTGTTGCTACCGACCAACGTACAATTTTTGCAAGTTGAATCAGTATCACAATGTCCTTTACAAACAGCAACATCAGCAACAAAAAAAAAAAA